GAAGAAGAAAAAGAGGATCTTCATTTGAGTCTGTGCTCTCTGAATCTGAAAGTTAGAGAATTTAGCAGCTTTTTATGGTAAAGCGTTACGCAAAAAAAAATAAATCTTTAAAATATAAATTACTAGATGAAGTACCCGCATATATACATTTGTGATTTAATCTTTTATAAATCTATAGAAAATAAAATATTTAATTATGGTAAACAAAATTAGATCACCCGTTAATATAAATAAAATAAAAGTAAAAATGTTAATGTAAAACAATTGATCGAAAAACTATCATTTATTAATTAATTTTTATGTTTTTGTTATGTGATTTACAATTAAATTTTATCACATTTTTTTTTAAACTATTAGTTTTTCTTAGTCCTATTTAAATTTGGTAAATTTTTTTACTTTTAATCTTGTTTTACTATTCAAAAATCTACTTTTTTGAAAATGTTGATGGATTATTTCTCATATTTATATTTGAACTATTTTTACTCTTGAATATTTTATAACTTGCAAAAATCAAAGACAAAAAGACAAAATTAGATAACTCCATTTAAATAATAAAATAAAATTGAAAACGTTATTACAAGATCATTTATATATAGAAGTCTATCAAATATTTATCTATTGTATTCTTATATTTTATTTTTTATATTGTTCGATTTTTAACTCAATTATATCACATATATTAAAATTGTTAAATATTTTTAATCCTATTTAAAGTAGGATTACATTTTACAATTTACCAAATTAAGATATTTTATTTTTAAATAGATAAATCTTTTGAAATGTAGATAAATCTAATAAAAAATTATTTATATTTGTATAAATTTAATTGATTGACTCAAACATGCCTTGATAAGATTAATTACCTTGTATAAAATCCAAATTTTACTTTTACCATTTTAGTAATTATTAAATATAAAAAACCATGCAAAAAGTGAAAAAAAAAATTACTACATCTCATATTAATGTTGTCAATAACAAACAAAAAATCGAATTAGAATGAATCATATTAAGCTCAGAAAACTAATATCTATTGTCGTATTCTATTTCACATATCGAAAAATATAATAATATATCTTTTCTGACGAAAAGCCAAAACAAGTAAGTTTTATGGAAAATATTATTAAAGTTTTTAATTGCGTAGAATGGAGAGAGCATAAAAGTATGTAAATAAATGTGAAAATTTGGATAT